TTAAATTCTAACCCCAATACTTGTGAATTTGACTCTATCTGGAAGCAGCTCTATGTAATCAAGATATAATCAAGCTGATGTGAGGCCACACTGGATTAGGGAAGGCCCTGAATCCAAGACCTATGTCTTTCTAAGAAGGCCATAGAGGTTGGTCAAGTGGTATGATGGGTGCTTAAGGCAGCTGGATCCTATATGGTGAATAGCAAGATTCAAATCTCAGACCTAGCAGCATGAAAAGCACACTTGCTGCATGTACCTGTATGTCCAAAATCTTGTGAGGAGAATGGAAGAGAGGGGATTGCATCATGCTCATCCTCTCTGGGTGATTTTCTTTCACTCTCTCTGTTTCCAGTGAGCATACAAGCTATATAGTAAGGTGGTTTATTTTTGTTGTTGTTGTATTTTTTTTTTTGAGAGGTTTCTGCTATAGGGCGCGTGTGCTCGCCAGAAAGCATATGAGGAAATGCTCAACATCCCTCATCATAAGGGAGATGCAGATAAAACCACAATGAGATACCACCTAACCCCTGTCAGAATGGCAAAGGTTAAGAATAATAAAAAGTGGTAAGTGTTGGCGGGGATGTGGTGAAAAGGGAACCCTCCTATACTGTTGGTGGGAATGTAAACTTGTTTAGCCACTGTGGAGAACAATATGGAGGTTCCTCAAAGATCTACAAATAGAACTACCATTTGATCCAGCAATCCCACTACTGGGTATCTACCCAAAGGACAGGAGAACACTCAGTTGGAAAAGTACTTGCACATCAATGTTTACTGCAGCATTATTCACGATTGCCAAGACATGGAACCAACCTAAATGTCCACAAACTGATGAGTGGATTGAAAAAGTGTGGCATATATACTCTATGGAATACTACTCAGCCATAAAAAATAATAAGACCCTGGCATTTGATAGAAACTGATCAGGTATGGAGGATCTATTGCTGAGTGAAGTAAGCCAGGCTATGAAAGAAAGATATTGTATGTATCCACTTAATATATACCGACTATACACACTCTACGGTAGAGAGCGAAATATTGGATAGCATATGGTCATACTGCAATCCCTTCTTTTCCATTTCTCCACCTTGGGCACATAACACATGCTCCTGGCATGTTTTTAAGGCTTCTGGGACTGTGATTTAAACAGTGGTTGGTCATTGGGATCTGATTCCCCTAACCTGAGGCCATGGTGTGGCCCTGTCTGGCTTATTTTTATTCCCTAATCTTAAAAATCTTTAAAAGGGGGCTAAGCTGGTGGTTTGGTGGTTAAGGTGATTGGATCTCACATGGATGACTTTAAGGTTCAAGTACTGAACCAGAGGCTTGAAAAACACATCTGGTGTGTGTATGTATGTGCCCAAAATCCTAAGAGGAGAATGGTAGAGATGGGACTGTGGCATGGCCAGCCCCCCAGGGGAGTACTTTCTCAGTTTCTTTCTGTCTCTCTCCTATTAGTGCACACTGCTTACATCAAAATATATTTTTTTCCTGAAACCTTTTTTAAAATTAGTTAATTTACATTCATTCCCTAAGCATCGTCACAGCATACAAAACGTGATTTCCCATCCAGAATATACTGCATAGTGACTTAATCATGCATATTATTATAAAAAAATTTCCACTTATTGTTTCTAGAATTTTTTTTACCCCTATTTCTGACCCTCTGTCCTTTCCCACCCTCTTCTCATACTATTTCTGGTGTCTACTATTGTCTTCCATTCTTTTCCCACCCACATTGTATTGATCACACAATTTCTTAAATAATCTAACTATTTTCAATAGTAAGTTTACTTGGTACTATTGAGAAAACCAGTTTTAACTTAAATCAAAGAAATGCTAAGGAACTTTGCTTAAAGCCAGGAAACAGGTTAAGATTCTGTTCAAATGGTAGGCACGTGAATCTATCCATATCTCAAGACAGGACACAAATCCTTACAACCAGATAACAAAGTCTACATGTATAGTATTCTCAACTAGATTGGTCTGAGAAGTATTTCATGATGGGTAAAGTCTTTTTACAAGCAAAATGAGAAATAATGATTGACTAGTTAAAAAATAATTGGAATAATAATAATAATGATCGGGAAAACAATGAAAAGATATTGAATGATGAAGTGGGGATGCTAATGTCTCTGTATTGACTGACATGCATGGCATTCCCTTTTGAAAAAGCAATGTAATACATTGTAAAGTTATATGCAATTTAATGTAATATAAACAAGATTATGATGATAAATAAATTTTAAAAATCCCTTAAAACTTTTGAATAGAAAACTGGGGTTTAAACGAACATTTATAGTCCTTGTGGAACAATGGGAAGCACATGCTTCTTGCAGAAATGTGCTAACATATTAAGCCTGTATTTAATCAAATCAGTAGTAATGATGATAAATAAAAGGTAATTCATAAAAATGTGAAAGACCACAATTTATCAACATTGTCTTTTTTTTTACACTTAATTATAATGCAAAATTGTTCAGAGTTAATCAGGTTGAGTACAAATTGAGTAAAGCCTCAATTACATATTATTTTCTGTGTATTCAATTAGCTTTTATTCATCTTGCTGTTGCCCTACCTGCTCCTTTCCAACAAATTAAGCATCCAAAGATTCATGTGCAAAATAGGCAGCCCTTGAATCAATCAGTATGGTATAACTAGCTAAGTTTTAAAAATTGTATAGAAGGGGGTAGGTAATAAGGGATGAGAGGGAGGGGATCAAGGGGAAAAACATTTAATAGACAGAAGAATAAAAAGTTATCTGTTGATGATAATATATATGGTAATATCTATGACTTGAATGACATGCACTGCATTCATGCTGGGAAAAATCATTTTATATGCTGTAAAGATGTAGAGTGATGTCATTTTTTTTAGAGAGATTTTTGATATAGGGTATGTATGCTTGACAGAGAGAAAGAGAGAGATAGCGAGAGAAAAAGTGAGAAATGCCCCCCCGGGAGGATGGCCATGCTGCAATCCCTTCTCCATCATTCTCCTCTCAGGATTTTGGGCACATATGCACATGTACCTGGCATGAGTTTCAAGCCCTAGGTCCAGGACTTGAACCATGGTCAGTCATGTGGGAGTCCAGCACCTTAACCACTATGCGACCTGGTGGCCCCCAGTGGTGTAAATTTTAAAAATGCAAAACTAAGGACCAGTAGATGGTGTAACGGTTGCGTTGCTGGATTCCTACATGGGCGACTACAATTCAAGTCCTGGGCCTGGCAACTTGAAACTCATGCCAGGTGTGTGTACATGTATGATCAAAATCCCAAGAGGACAATGGAGGAGAAGGGTCTGTGGGGTGGGTACCGCACCCCCCCCCCCTCCCCGGGGGAGTGATTTCTTGCTTTCTGCCTCTGTCTCTGTCCTTCTCTCACTCCAGGAAGTGCATGTGCCCTATACCAAGAATCTCTCTTTCAAAAAAATGTAAACATAAAATGAATTTTTTAAAAATTGGGTTTGATAGGTGACTTTTCCTTATCAAGTAGAAACTAGCAATTACTAAGTATATCATTAAACACTTGCATAAACATTAAGTACTTTTTTTTTTTAAGAAACAGGTTTCACTATGCTGTGCAGGCTAGTCCCCAGTTTGCAGTCCTCCTTCAGCAGCCTCCTGAGTAGCAGAGATTACAGGCCCACATTACTGTGTCCAGCTCATATATAATTTTCTTTTTTAATGCCAGAGGGCACATGCGTGTGTATGAGAAAGTGAAAGAGAAACAACCCCCAATGGGGCTTGGTTACACTGCAGTTCCTTTTTCTCCAATTCTCCATCCCATCAGGAACCTGGGCATGTGTATGTCCCATGTATTTTTCACGCTGCTAGGGCTGGGATTCAAACCCTGGTTGGCCATAGGGGATATGGCTTTCTCTATGTAGTACCTAACTGCTGCTCTATTGGGCTGGCCCTCATGTACAGAATTTTCAAAACTCATTTTACCTTGTTGGGTAAATGAACAATTATATTTCATTAGAACTTATCATTTTATTTATTTATCCCCATTAATAAGAACTCTCAAATATTTTTTAAAAGTCAAGAGGCAGAATTTTCTAGAGATTAGCAGGCTAAAAAATGTATGCTTGTATTTTCAACATAGTTCTTATTTGGAAATCATCTTTGAAAATATTACTATATCTAATTTAAGAGTATACACAGGAATTAGATGTGAAAATTCTAGAGATAAACATAATTTGGGGAGATCGAGGGAAAATAGATAAATATAGTCTAACTTATATGATACAATTCAGTTATTGCTGTAACTTGGTTTGTGTGTCTGTGTGTATGTGTGTGTTTCTTCACTGGCAAGAAAGTCTGGGGGTGTGTGACTACTCAGCTGAAAGTTCACCTGCTAAATAAATGGAGAACCAGTATCAGAAGGTGACACAGGAGGGTTTGTGACAGTGCTGGTTCCAGCTGGTGAATTACAAGAAGATCCAACACTGCTACTGTTTCCAACTGAATATGGAGTAGCACAATAGAATGACACTCATTGATAACAGAACTCAAGAGATCTCTCTGTTCTCTCTGCTTTGTCTACACAAATAATTGGCCTTAGATTCACAAGAGCAATACAACAAAACCAAGAGTAACAATGAAGATTCATTCTTATATTTCCCGTTTTAATTATTAAAACATGTTTTTAGGCACACTCTTCAATAACATTCTCAATCCAACAAAGAAAACCAAAATCTAAGTTAGAAAAGATGGGTAGATGATTTTTCCAATATACATTTTTATGTCTTTCTCTAATACCTCTTATCCTAATGCCAAAATGTTATTTCTAAAAATGTATCCATCATATGTGAATGTCACATATATGTTAGAAAAAGAACTAATGTTGATAATATCCATCTGGGATATTAGTCTTATAACTTCTAAAAATATTTAATCATGTACTATACTCCCAAATATATATGATAGCCAGAGTAGACTTAAAAACCAAGTAAAAATGGCCAATGAATGTTTAACACCTCATGGTGGTACTCACCACACATTTTTTCGTGACAGTTGGGAAGTATCAGGAGAAAACATATTGGCTGAACTTCGGAAAAACCGCTTTGACTGATCTTCACGTGCCATCTCACCTGTGACAAAATAGATCAAGGTAGATATGTTTGACAGGCTTACTATTTCTCTAATTTCAAAAGCAATATTTGTTCATTGTGATTAGTTGTAAAATACAGGAAAATGCACAAAGAAATTTTATGTCATCATTATCCAGAGACAGCAAATGCTGAATATGTGTGAATATACTATAAATAATTATCTCTTAAACAAAAGTGGATTTGTACTGTTTATATAATGCTGATAATCTTTTTGTTTTCAGTGATTATCATTTTCTTATACTGCTAACAAAATTCTACAGT